TTGAAAAACGAGAACAACTTCCAATGTATAAATATTATATAAACAAAGTGTATCAATATATATACAAATTTGATATATAGTTATACATCATATATACATAGGTATACACTCTTTATACAATATAATGAATTACACAGCTATTATATAATTTTACATGTACATGCAATTTATTTTGACTTTTGATTACCTATGCAGTTATGTAAGAATTTTTTAAGAAAATGAATTAATTAACCAAAATTTTATTGTTTTTAATTAGTGATAGATCAGGTCAGTATATGATCACTAATTCAATCATGGGAAAAATTTTAAAATGTCAATATTTTGATATTTAATATGATTCATTGTCAATACTTTTAATATTTAGTAAAATATCAACAAAAGAAGTTTGTTAAAAACAGAAAGAAAATATTAAGGGGAGAGAAAAATATTAGAAAAAAACAATTGCTTAAAAGTCTTATGAGTTACAAAAATTCAAAAACAAAGAACTAATTGACAATTTATCAAAATACAACAACTTCCATCTCTTTCTTCTTCTTTCACCATGTTCTAAAAAACACGCCTATCATCATTGTTCTAAAAGTTCAATATTCAATTTTGTCAAAAAAAAATTTGAAGCAATTTATTCTACTAAGGCATATTTTGAGGTTATGAAATTATAATTTATCTTTAAAAATATCTGAAATTTTATGAAGTTATTTGGCTATCATGTTAAGGTTATGAAGTTTATGTATCTCATCTTAAGAAATTTTCCAGTATTCAGAATACAATGTTCATGTAGTCATGATATAGGTATTCATCCATCTTACATATGTACTTTATTTTGCTTATTTTCAATATTACTTTGTATACCAAATAGTTTGTATTTAGATTTGATTTCGTATTCGTCCTAATGTATATCAGAAAGTTTTGTATTTATATTTTGATTTCGTATTCATTCTCAACTACAAATAGCCAAAATACAGTTTATTTATATATTCATTATATGTGTATTCATCCTAATTGCATCAGTCAAATAGTTTTGTATTTTATTTTGCTCATTATATGTTTATACCAACTAGTTTATTTTTTATTTCGTATTCATTCACAATTTTAAATAATCAAAATACAAGTTTGTATTTATATTATCACTTTGTAAACATAAATTTGACTACAAACTATAGAATGTTCAAAATGTTTTCAAATATTTTTGTGAAACAACTAAATACCTAAATGATAATGTGGATTCTACTAAATTTGAAATATAAAAACAAATCATAAAGATCGACAAAAATTATTTTAAATACTAAAAATCTGAAATACATAAATATTTGATGAGTAAGTTAACAAACTCACATAAAAATAAAAAATGACGAAAAATCCTCAATACATACAATCCGAAAATTCAATATAATTTGTGATTTTGAAAACAAATCTGGCCAAATAAATGATGAATTCAAAAATATCTTTAGCAATCGAGAGATTTCTTGATTAATCTATAGATCTAAACAACTTGTTACGAACTTGAATAATTAGTTCTTCAACAATGAAGAGAATTATGGTGAAATTTTGATGAAAGAAAAAAGAAAGAAAAGTGAAGATGGAGATGGTGAAAACTGAAAGTTGACGAAAGAGGAAAAAACTTGAAAAGTAAAAGATGAAAAATAAATTTAATGGTACTAAAGCTGAACTGTAAATGGGTAATGGAGGTAGAATTTGATTCAAAGTTGGACTGTTTTGAGAAATAAAATTTGAATACAAATTATTTTCTAAAATATTGACATTTTAACATTTTCAATAATTATTTTAAAGTGTAAATATTTTTACTAATTAAGTTGAGAATTGTGAATAATTTGATAATTTTTCCTTCAATTATAACATCCAAAAGTCTGATCTGAAATTTACTAATGGTATTGTATATATAACTTGAAAAGGGCTTTTAATTGTAATTTACTTGTAGAAGTGTTCTAATCTATAAAAAGAAGTTTTTATGTGATATATAGAGACTAAATATTATAGTTGTTATGAGTGTATATATTAATAAGAGTAACTTTCATATTTAGTAAACATAAAAATCATATTTGTATGTTTGTTATAGAGTATCAGATTGTATTAATCGTTGGGGGCATCAGATTTGTATAAAATCTTTGCACCCTCTCTAGTTTGTATAGATCGATGACAGTCTCTCAATACAATTTTATGTGTTTGTATATCGGCATAAAATTTGAGTTTGTATATAATTGAATTGAAATAAGACATTTGCATATCAAATATCTTTCTCGCTTTATACAAACATAAATTATACATTGTATTTTGTATAATTTGTGTATGTATGAAACGAGAAAAAGAGAAAGACAAAAGAGAATTGGGCAAAGGAAGATTTATATTGTATAACTATAAGTGTATAGGACGGAGATATATGTATTTGGATGTATATATACAATTTTCTCTCGCTTTTTACAAATAGGAACACAATTTGTATATATTTGTTTGTATAAAGTGAGAGAGGCGAGAGAGACTGACGAGCGAGAGAGGGAGACTGACAAGCAAGAATTTCATGGGAGATAGGCAAATAACAACAGTTTGCTACGTGTTACAGTTAAATCATTTGAATTAATAGTTTGCTATTATATACAATTTCCCTTCACAAGAATAATATAATAGTATTGAGAAGGGAAAAAAATTGTGTTTTAGAGAGTAAAATGGAGAATTGGGTTGAAGTTGGCCACCCTAAATCACTTTTTAAATATTTTCATACTATGAAAAAAGGCCTAAAATACCCTTGAAATATCATAAATGATACAAAATTACCCTCCATCCACCTATTGGTTCCAAAATGCTCTTATCATCCACCTATTGGCTCCAAAATACCATTCTCATCCATCTTTGGATTCAAAATTGACCACTTATTTAGCGATTTTAAATTTAAACTATTTAAATATTTTAATACATGACTCTCAACTATTTGTTATAATTTAACTTGTTAATATAATTTATAAATCAATCTACTACCCACCGTTACTAATTAAACCACACTCAATTAATAAACCTGACTCATTACTAATGCAACAACAGAAAAACTACTGCTAATACTAAAATTATGAGGTGAAAATGTCTATAGAAGTAGATTATCTTACATAGAAGTCCTCAATCAAAACATATTATAATTCAAGTGTCTAATTAAAAATTACCGATAAATTTAAAAGTCTGACTATGTTCATCTTAATTATTCACCCGTCTCAATTATGTTATCTTACTTAATAGATAATTTTTTAAAAATAATGTATTAAAGTTTTAATATTTAAAACAAATAATAAATATTTATTAAATTATATTAAAAAAATACATGAATTAATTCAGAATGTACTACTTCTTTACCTTTAATCATAAAATTCAAATTTAAGCTTGAAAGAGAATCATATTGAAAATATCCTCCTAAATAAGCGGTTCAACCGAAATTAAATTGGACTTTCAATTCAGACTCGAATAATTTTGAATGTCATTTTCAGGAATCTGTAATTTCGTCGTGTTTTTTAATAGCATTTAGGGCGATTTTGATATTAGAGTTGATTTATTAATTGGGTGAGGTTTAATTAGTAATGGATGGGTAGAAGTTGGTTTATAAATGATATTAATAAATTAAATTATATCAAATTGTTGAACAACAAGTATTTTATAAAATTATTCAAATGGTTTAATTGGTCAATTTTGAACCCAAAGGTGGATGACAAGGGTATTTGGAGCCAATAGGTGCGTGAAAATGTCATTTTGAAGCCAATAGGTGGATGAAAAATACTTTTGTACCATCTCCAATACTTCGAGGATATTTTAAATCCTTTTCCGTTAATATTATTTCATTATAGAACACTTTTAATTTAACATTCTATAAATTGTATGTTTTTAATGAAATCTCTTATATACTTAATTACTTTTTGTAATAGTAATTTTATATATAAAAGTTAGCGGTATGAATTAATTTTCTTACGTATGATTTTTTAAAATATGATTTATGTTAATTGTAGAATAAATTATACTATATCCCCAGAAATCAGAGAATGAGTTTACTGTGTGTGAAATCAGAAATGTCAAGTGTGATATATTATGGTGCATCCAGTTTTGCTTTCACTGTCCCAGCAAAGAGAGTGATTTCTGTTGATTACAATGCACAGAAATACAAAAGCAAAAGAAAACAACAATTCACACACATACACACATATATCATAATTTATATAGCATCAAATACTGGTATATACATACAACACAAAAACATTTAGTTGTCAATAAGAAAACAAAATTCTCATATTAAATCTATAGTGACTCCAAAGATCTCCCTTGTTCACCTGATTCATGAGAACTAGGACAGAAAATGCTACCAATTTATGCATTATATTTGTAAATCATAGAAGCATCAAACCTCAATTTGAACCAACGATAGAGAGAACATATGTGACAACTAAACTTTGGTAATCACAGAATATCGATATTATGTGAAAAACCTGGATCCGTCTCTACTTCTAACTTGTGCTCCCGAGACTGTTCAAATTGCATCACCAGGCGAATAATTAGAGAAAGAGCAATATGCTTGCCTTGAATACCCTAAATATTAGACTCAGTCTAGTAGGCAAACAACACCTAAAGAAGGCATTACAATGATCAATGCAACTCCCTTATGGACTACAAACAACAAACACAACACAAATGCATTATCATTCTCCAAAACAGATTGACGACGTATTTTCTTCTCCCAAGACTAGCTCTAACAAGATGGGAAACGGATCATTCAACAGTTTCACAACTTCTCTTCATATCTCCCCTATTACTAGGTATTAAAATCACAGAAGTTGCAATATCTGATTCCAAAACAACTTTCACTTCTCATAAATAACATAGTAGCTATTAAAGTATGTTGTAGCAGTAAAAGAAGATAGTAGTACACCACCCGTAAGCAATGTATATTGCTACAACCAAAAGAAAAACGAATCAGGTGGTCAAGATCATATCAATGAAATTCAAGGAAAGCGCCATTTATAGTAAATATGAGAATTAAATTACTCTTCAAGAGAAGAGAAAGAACATAAAATCCATTAAAAAAAAATGTCTGACTATTATCATTCAAAAAAGTTGTATAATCTCAGGGTAATGCAATACAGATGGAAACAATAATGAATTTACCCAAAGCTTCATGTCCTCCTCCCCTAAATTGAATCTTCACTATGGCGAATGAATTTACCGCTCTCTCACAAAAAAATCCCTCCCAGGATTACCTCAACATTTCTGCACACAAGGTATAACCGTATTTAATACTGCTACACCACAGTTACCACTTATCCGATTAAAGCAATAGAGCCCCTCAAGGTGCAACCAAAAACCTGCCCCTGAGCACCTCCTTTGTTGAGAAGACGTTGCCAACTGTCGTAAGACCTAGCCATTTTCTCTTTTGCAATTCCCGGGCAAAAGATATTTGTACTTGTCTGGATTTTCAAACAGATAAGAAGGAAGATCAATTGCTGAGTACGAATGGGGGATAGGCCCCATGTTGCCGATAATATCCTTGAACGTGTACTCCTCAGGAAGCATGTCATATAAATCAGCTCCTTTACAAATGACATCCTGAATCCTTGTAGGGTTCAGATAATGTGAAAACCTCACTCTATCACTGTGGCTGTAAGCTTTCATCTTGAATATAAAATCACTAATGTGGCGGAAACAAAAGCTACAATGCCAACCTGCATCCGCCAAAATGTAATCACTCTGACGATAGTGTGCATATCTAGTCTTACCACTCTGATACCTGTGGACTGAAGCTCTCCAGCTTCTGTGCTTAATCTGAAATTCAAATGAGTACAGGTAATTCTTCAGATGAAGGTGAAGGACATGAGGAATGTCATCGCACCACCTCAAAAGATTAATAGTACGAGCGCTAGGAATCTCATCTACGTCGGACATAATGAGCAAATCATCATCCTCAATACCAGCAAGTTTCAGAAGTTGGTCCAATGCTACTCTCTGATATGCCTCTTCAACAAATGGATTTTCACCTTTTTTATCTCTTCCGGCAATGTTTCCATATGCCAAGCGAGGCTCAATGAACTTAAATTGGTCCCTATTAAGTGCAAAATTGTGGAGTTTAGCCAAACCCGTAAATGTTGAGTTTGACTCAAGAAGCACAATCTGAGTGATGTAAGGATACAACTCCTTCCATCTGATTTTAAGCATATCGACTTCATTACTGAAGAGAACAGCATCAAAGACACGCCTAGGATATTCACGAATTCCCCATCCATGTAGCTTACAAATATCCTCCATTGGTACATTCTCATGGTAGTAATGAGTAATTTCAATAAAGGGCTTCGGAGGAGATTGCCAGAGAGGACGGAGGAAGTAAGTAATTTTCTGGCCATGCAAGTATGCACCAACTATGAACATTGGCACAAACACAACCAAAAAAATGAGAGCCTTCAAATCTAATCCTCGAAGCATACACCGTAGTCTTGACATGCTTAATGTAGTGGGTGAATCCTGCTGCACATTAAAACACTAACTTCCTAAGTACACAACCAAAAGTAGTAAATCTTTTCCTCTTCCCTTTCCAAAGACAAATTTATTAACCAAAGAAACACACAGTTTTTCCTTCTTGAAAAATATATATACAAATAGTTTTCTCGTGTATCCTTCAAGATAGAGAAACAAATTAATTTACTGTGCTATGTATACAACCATAAGACTTGAAATTCCAAACAGCAAAACAAAGGTTCAAAAACAGTGCAATCAGAGGAAGCAGGGAATTTCAATCCTTGATCTGCTGATACAAAACAATTGGAACATACACAATTGTCACCATTAAAAAAATTATTTTGCAATTTTTTATTTTATTTTAGAAAAGAAAAACTCTGGCTACAACTATTTTCCCATCAATTCAGTATTCTGGGTTTACAGATAAACCATTCTAGGAAAAAAAAACAGCACATTCTAGAAAGAGAGAAACATGTGATCTTGGCAGAATTTGAATTGAAAAAAAAACAGAGAGGAAAAATAAAGTGTGCAATTGTGATTATTACCTGTCCACAAACATCTGGGCAAATATCATCACTCTTCTTCGAAGTGTAATAGTAACCATCAGACATCATTAGAACCAATCTATTGAACAAATGCTTGTTAATTGATACCCCTCTTTCCTGCAGTCAAAGATCGTTAATGGAGGAACTGCAAACATTCACCCACAAGGCTTCTCTAATCGACAATTCACAACATAATAATAGTCGTTTTCTGGGTTCTGACGGATATATATAGAGAGACAGAGAAGCCTAGTTGTAGATAGACAAGGGATAGAGAAAAATAAATTTATGGACCTACTTCTAATTTTTGCATAATATCGAGGGCATAATACATAAATACTTCGTCCGTCCACTTCTAACTATCATAATTTTTATTTTTAAAGTTAAATTATATAATTTTTTATTAATATTTTAAGATGATTTTTCATCATACTTATATGGAAAAAATTACAATTTATAGTATTTTTCATGTAATTTTTGAATATCTATTTTCTTAATTTAAAATATCAAATTATTATATTTTAATTTAACTTTAAAGATTAGTAAAATTGACTTTCAAAAATACAACATAACAAATAAAACTGAACAGAAGGATTATAAATCTTAGATTGGCTATTACCTTTAATTTCGATGTACATAAAATATCACTTAAATTTGTACAAATTGAACAAATAGACACACATTCGTCTTACATACCAATTTTATAATTTACGTGACCTCCTACATCTAATATGATACAACATATGTGTATCTGCTTATTTAATTTTATACTAATTTAGATATTGTCTTATCTGCTCAAGTTAAATCAAGAATTAAGTTTATATATTATGCTCTTTCATATTGATTGGCGGGGGGGGGGGGGGGGGGCGTGGTGTAATTAATTATATTTTGCTAATCCAAAAAGAAAAGGCCTTTCACATTCCTAACTTAAACATAAGATTGATTTGATTTCCAGATCGTTAACATATTAATCACTCAATTTAACTTTTACTCTTAACGATTAAGTATTCCATATATATATATATATATATATATATATATATATATAAGTAAGTAA